TCCATGCTTAATTACTTGATGAAGTAGAAGGCTGTCTTCCAAAGTGGCTGCATCATTTTACATTACCACCAGTAATGCATGGGATAATTGTGACCACATGGGTGTTTCATCGCATGTACACGTTGCCAGGGCTAAATCACTATCTCTGTAATTGCATAAGTGCAGATGGAGAGGTTTCTGGAGTACTGTACTGGCTGGGCAGAAACAAAGGGATTCTGGTGCTTATACCAACAGTCTGTGGCACTATGCGGAGCCAATCAACATTCTATGGCAAGCAGCATTCCCTTGGTCTCCTTCCTAACAACAGTCGATCCAGTCATCTATCCTTTTTCCGATTTCCAGATCTGCAGGGTCAATTCAGCCAAACAGCTCTCAGGGTTAAACTGATCACATAAAGCAGTCCTAGAAGACTGAGAGGGCTGAGAGACAGGAACGTCACCCACAGCTTCATCACACTCCACAGGCTATCTTCTAAGAGATACAGCACCAGTTCTATTATCTCAAGCTGCTTATCTGCCAGCTCAGACCCCAGATCTGCCTCCCAACCCTGTGTCTCTCCTGGGACATACATGCCTTATCACAAGGAGAGAGCCCTCCCAGGTGTCGTGGAGACCGAAGGGCCTTCAAGACCCCAAAAGCTGATTTTCCAGAGACATTAGTTATACATTAAAGCTGACTTGTGGAGGATATTTCTTGGAGGTAGGGTAGGTGGTGAACTCATCTGTCAAATCTCCTTACTATACAAGAGAGCACATTTCACTCTTTTTTTGTTTTTTTAAAGATTTTATTGGGTAATTGGGGTAAAGGGGACAGTGTTGGGGGATTGGGGAAGGGGAACAGCCAAGTTGTTGTCCTTCAATCGTAGTTGTGGAGGGCACAGCTAGCTCAGCTCCAAGTTCAGTTGCCATCAGGCTGCCCAACGGCAGATCAAGGCAGCTCAGCTCAAGGTGCCGGTGTTTAATCTTAGTTGTTGGTGGGCATAGCCCACCATCCCATGTGGGAGTGGAACCGGAGAGCACATTTCACTCTTAACTGGAGTCCTGACTGCGATCCAGTTTGGCTGGGTTGGGCCTGGGAGTAGGGCAAGCTGGAGAAATCTCAGGGTCTCGCACTTGCTGCGTTTTGGGTGAGTGAGCACCACTTTGGGCGCGGGGCCCTTCACCTCCCGCTGCACGATCTCAAACGGCCGGCTTTATAGTTTTGCCCCGCGCTCGCAAGGGATACCAGTGAGCTAAGAGAACGGAAGTGGGTTCGTCACCATGGGAACGTAGGACGCCAAGACTTCCGACTTCCGATTGGGGTAGAATTACTGAGTGTGCGCAGTCTTCGCCTCACCGTTGGTCACGCCCCCAGTCTCCTTTGCTCGCTGTCTCTCCTGTTCCAACGGAAAGGTGGAGACTCTCAGGAAGTAGATTTTTGTGAATACTACAAGTCACGATGTAGTTGGAGAGATGGCATAAAATCAGACAATTTCAGTAATTAAAAAAATAGAGGAATGCAAATTTCATAAAATTCTGGCTCAGCCTTGAAGGAAACTGCCTGCAGAGGGAATTATTGAGCTAAATTTTGAACGACGATTCGGAATTATTCAGAGAGGATAAACAAGGGTTTGTGGGCTGAAGGATATTCTAGACGGAAGAACGTCGTGAACAAAGGCATGGAGGTGTCAAACAGCATGCATATACTTGCAGGGTGAGGTTGGCAGGCACACAGAAGCGGCAGCCACCACAAACAGCTATGTTGCTGTGGGATCAACTGCCAGGCAAGAGGGGTTGATTGCTGAGGCAGGAGCCAGAACAACGGTGGACTGGACAAGTACGTCATGCCAAGGAACCCGGGCTTCTCTTTGAAAATGCTGGGGAGCCATAAAGGAACTTTTGTCAGGGATGCTTCCAGTCCTGCCACAATCACCGTGCCCACCTGACCATCATGTCTCAAGCCATTCCTGGTCTGGTTGCCCTCCCGTCCACTGGACTCCAATTCTGACCCTATTTTTCTAAGCAATAACATATCTGAGTATGATGGATCATAAGAATATATCGTCCATTCCAAAACCTATCATGAACACCTGTGGGGCATGCAGGGACAGGAGCTGGGCAAGACCAGAACAGCACAATCCAGGCAATCCAGACATTTCATTCTGGAGGATAAACAGCTTGTCAATGGAAGGTACAGGTATAGAGATGCTGTATGCACCACCCTGATCCCACTGAGGGACATATTCTCCCAGCGGCAGGTAGTGTTGCTAGGAAATTCACCTGGAGTCTTTACTGAGAAGGCAAAGCAGACACCATTAAAAATGTTCAGTGAAAACAATGCTAAAAGCAAATAGATTAAAGTCAGGGATATTTAATTGTATTGAATGATTTATCGATTGGCTGATCACAGCTGGAGGAAGGCTTAGTTTTTAAAATCCTGGAGGAGAAGAAGTTAATTGAATAGTAAACAGAGGGCAGAAATTAATGGGCAAAATCCTGTACAAAGTGTGGAGACTGGTCTTTAAGGGGAGGATGACTGCCTTTTCCCTGAGAGTAGATGGGAGGACAAAAGGGGGTTCAGCATGTCTAGGTTTGCCTCTGGAAGTCTGAAGATGTCCATTCTTGAATATATCTACATTATATATTAGAAATCCAAGTCTAAGACAACATCTGGGCTTGAAGAGGTTCGATTTAAGCTGGAGGTGAGACTGGAAGGATAATGCTGTCCATAGGCAGCCTGTCTTTTATCTTTGTATATATTTGGGCCCATTTGGTTGGGTGTGTCTCAAACTGTTATAGTTGAATTGTGGTTTGTTTTTAAATCTGAGAATCTTTCTATTATATTGAGGATTAAATTCATTTACTTAAATTGGTATAGTTTGCAAATCAATATCAGAAGTTGGTGTGAGATTCAGGGCTCAGGGAGCACTTACATGTGCCTAGATTTGGGTTGAATGAAGTGGGGCAGTGCTGGGGTAGGGGAGGAGGCAGAAGCTATGCGCCAGGGCACAGGTCCCATGGAGTTAGAACTGGGAAGTGACTAAGCCACATAAGACTTATATACATTTTAGAGGCTACAGGACTCTAGAAGAGGAAGGGATTGCATGTCCATCTTGTGTTTTCAAGGTGACAAAAAGCTTCTTTTACTATTTTAATATATGAAGTTGCGGTTTTTAGGATTCGAGTGTACAGTTTAGTGGCGTAAAGAACAAGTACTTATAACCTGGGTTTGATTCTAGATTGTACCAATACTAGATGTTTGAGGCTGGGAAAGTTCACCTCTTTTGAGTCTCAGCTTTCTCATTTGTAAAAATGGGCAAAATCATTGTCTTCCTAAAAAGGCTGTTTGGAGGATTAAATAAATTGGGTCCATAAGGAAGAACTCACCAAACAGCAGTTCCTTTCCTAATTTATTTATTTAAGATTTTATTGGGGAATTGGGGAGGGGAACAGCGTTGGAGAATCGGGGAAGGGGAACAAACAAGTTGCTATCCCCTTGTTCCTCAGTCCAGCTGTGGAGGACGTGGCTTCACTGGCCCATGTTGGTTCCATCATTGCGCTCTTCCCGGATGAGGCAGTCGCTCGTCGGCCAATGGATGGCCGCTGACAGCTGCTCACGGCGGCTCATGGCAACTCACGGAAAGCTCACGCCTGCTGCTGGCGACACACGGCAGCCCAGCTCCAGGTCGAGCTGCTGCTCACCATCCCAGCTGTAGAGGGCGCAGTGCCACCGGCCCTCAGGTGGGATCTGAACTGGGGCCCCCTCGCTCAGAGTTGGCATCCCAAGCCAACTCCCAACCAACGTGCCACTCGGCCGGCCCCTTTTCCTTATTTATTCACATTACATTTTCAATTGCTGTCTCCCAGTTACTTAAAGACACTGCCAGGTCTCACCCAAAAGCCACTGAATATTTAAGAAGATGGCTTGTTGAGGTTGTTTTATGGTGGCTCTAGTTCTATTCCCCAGCCCCAATCCCAGCTCCTCCACCCCTAATATCCAAACTTCTCATCACACTCAGGCTTCTGGGATTTCCACCACTTGGAGCAGACACCAACTTCCTTCTCTTTCTCTTCCTTCCCTGCTCACTTCATCTATAAGCTCAAAGTACTGAACAGGCGTGGCCCTCTGGCTTGGTGGTAGGTTTTTGCAGTTCCTACGGACTCCTACACAAGCCCTGGCAATCGCGCTATGGTCCAGCCTCTGAGTACGTCAGTGTTGTCTCTCATAAAGCCGGTCTGAAAATATCATCTTGAATCCTACAGTCTGCAGAAGCCTCCAGTCTACTGATTTCTAGTTCCAGGTTTTTTAAGGTCCTTGGACCTAGAGAAGAGGGAGCAGTTCCATGTTGAATGAGGTTTGCTACATGCAAAATTGAGCATCACAAAACCATGTCCTACTAATTTGTGTCGGCCATCCATTTCTGATTACTTATCCCTTCTCTCTCTTCCCTCTTCTAAAATCGCCCATTACAAACAACATAGCACATCGTTACCTTCTGTTATACGTAATGATTTCATCCATAGGGAAACTGTTTCCCCAGGTAGATTTTAAGCTCCCTGCAGGCAGGAATCCTGTGTTTCTTAAAGGGTAAACCTTCCAGGGCTTGTATTCACTGCTGTGTCTCCTAACAAGCTGTGCACACAGATGCATAATGACCAGCTCAGGACTCAGAACTCCTGCCACCCAGCACTGTGCCCTTAGGTGAAACCTGCTGCCCATATTAAGGTGCCTTTCCAGGGGGTCCTTAGATGTAAAGACCTTTAAGGTACCCAGGTTATGCTTCTTTAAATATAGATCTAAATATAAACCCTCATAAATATAAAGTGATGGGTGGAGATTTGGTGGTGTGGGGGGG